CGTTTGTCCTCATTTCTTTTTTTGTTGCTTTGTTCCCATTGTACCCTTTCTCTTGGTTCGTTTGTAATTTGCCAATCAATTTTGTCCTTTTGTTTCTTCAATCTTTTCCTCGCATCGCTTTGCTATCTTCAGGCCGTGTATATTGACCAATGTATTTTTATGTTTACAATTTTACCACTATTTTATATTTATTCGCTTACTCATTAACTTTCTCTAAAAACGTATATATTAACAAACATATTAAATATCAAAAAAATATGCAGGATGCTATATACACAAACATATTCAATATCAAAAAAATATGCAAGTTGCTAAAAATTCTATGTACATCTAATACATACAAACGAATAAAAATTCTATATGTATCTAATCAATATATATAAATTGATTATGGTGTTTTGTATTAATGCAGATTAATAAAAATCATATATGTTTAGCATGCATCTAATATATATAAATTAATAATACTACTTTGTATTAACATATAATAAGTGTTAGTTATGTGAAATAATTATAATTTCGACACTATTTTTATGTTTATAATTTTCCGTCGTTCTTTATATTTATCCGCTTATTTATTAACTCACTTATTTATTAACTTTGTCAAAAAATATTAAATATCAAAAAATTACGTAGGTCACTAAAAATCCTATGTGTATCTAATACATACTAAAGAATAAAAATTCTATATGTATAACTCGCTTATTTATTAATTTTGTCGAAAGTGTGTATATTGACAAAAATATGTTTATTCTACTTCCACTTATATTTAACAATATAAAAATAAACATATCGAAATTATTTTAAAGTATTAATTTATCTCACCTCTTAAAAAATGATTTACATTCCATTAATTTAAATAATATTTACATCCTGTTACTCTTAAAAAATTAAATACAAATTACAACAATATTACTATATCTATTTATAAATATATATTAATCCAATATATTGTTCCTCTATTTATTATTTCAACCCTACTATCATATAAAACACTTTAAATATTAATTATTAAATAAATCTTTAGTTGTGTGCCTTATTAAATTAAATCTAATTAGAGCTTTTGTGTCCCTGCTTTGTTTGATTAAATCAAGCCCTCTCCGTTATTAAAGTCATTAAAGGTATTGCGTTGCTTTATTCCATTAAATCAACCTCTCTCAATTATTAAATTAAAACTGCTCAATTATTAAATTAAAGCTATTGTATTTTTAGATTGAGTAGCATAGCATAAATGTGCTCAATACAAAGTGATAATTAGTTGTGTGCCTTATTAAATTAAATCTAATTAGAGCTTTTGTGTATAAGATTGATCTCTCAATTATTATAAATGTGCTCAATACAAAGTGATAATTAGTTGTGTGTTTTAAATGTGCTCAATAAAAGTGACAATTAGTTGTGTATCTTATTAAATTAAATCTAATTAGAGTTTTTGTGTATAAGATTTATCTCTCAATTATTAAATTAAAGCTGCTCAATTATGAAATTAAAGCTATTGCATTTTCGGATTGAATAGCATAACATATTCAATATCAAAAAAATATGCAAGTTGCTAAAAATTCTATGTACATCTAATACATACAAACGAATAAAAATTCTATATGTATCTAATCAATATATATAAATTGATTATGGTGTTTTGTATTAATGCAGATTAATAAAAATCATATATGTTTAGCATGCATCTAATATATATAAATTAATAATACTACTTTGTATTAACATATAATAAGTGTTAGTTATGTGAAATAATTATAATTTCGACACTATTTTTATGTTTATAATTTTCCGTCGTTCTTTATATTTATCCGCTTATTTATTAACTCACTTATTTATTAACTTTGTCAAAAAATATTAAATATCAAAAAATTACGTAGGTCACTAAAAATCCTATGTGTATCTAATACATACTAAAGAATAAAAATTCTATATGTATAACTCGCTTATTTATTAATTTTGTCGAAAGTGTGTATATTGACAAAAATATGTTTATTCTACTTCCACTTATATTTAACAATATAAAAATAAACATATCGAAATTATTTTAAAGTATTAATTTATCTCACCTCTTAAAAAATGATTTACATTCCATTAATTTAAATAATATTTACATCCTGTTACTCTTAAAAAATTAAATACAAATTACAACAATATTACTATATCTATTTATAAATATATATTAATCCAATATATTGTTCCTCTATTTATTATTTCAACCCTACTATCATATAAAACACTTTAAATATTAATTATTAAATAAATCTTTAGTTGTGTGCCTTATTAAATTAAATCTAATTAGAGCTTTTGTGTCCCTGCTTTGTTTGATTAAATCAAGCCCTCTCCGTTATTAAAGTCATTAAAGGTATTGCGTTGCTTTATTCCATTAAATCAACCTCTCTCAATTATTAAATTAAAACTGCTCAATTATTAAATTAAAGCTATTGTATTTTTAGATTGAGTAGCATAGCATAAATGTGCTCAATACAAAGTGATAATTAGTTGTGTGCCTTATTAAATTAAATCTAATTAGAGCTTTTGTGTATAAGATTGATCTCTCAATTATTATAAATGTGCTCAATACAAAGTGATAATTAGTTGTGTGTTTTAAATGTGCTCAATAAAAGTGACAATTAGTTGTGTGTCTTATTAAATTAAATCTAATTAGAGTTTTTGTGTATAAGATTTATCTCTCAATTATTAAATTAAAGCTGCTCAATTATGAAATTAAAGCTATTGCATTTTCGGATTGAATAGCATAACATAAATGTGCTCGATACAACGTGGTAATTAGTTTTGTGACTTATTAAATTAAAGCTAATTAGAACTTTTGTATATAAGATTGATGATATTTGTTAGCTATTGTTAGCTTTAAGATTGAATATCATAATATAACGTATATGTGCTCAATACAAAATGATAATTAGTTGTCTACCTTATTAAATCCATTAAATTAAACTCTTTCGATTATTAAATTAAAGTTACTCATAAGATCTTACATGGTTCTTCTTTGTTCCTTTCACATTACGTGGTGCAATTCTCATTTGAGTGTGTCAGATTTTGCCTGACGTGTTGCATGGTTACAAATTACACAGTCAGATTTTGCCTTGCGTGTTGCATGCTTACAGATTACACCTTGCAGATTGCACTGGGTCAAATTTCATCTTACGTGCTTGCAGCTTACGCATTACAGCTATATTTGGTTCGTTCGGTGATTACAGATATCCTTGCTTCGTTTGATTCTTTTATCATAGTGGACTTCCAATCATTACGTGGATTTAATGCATGCATGTGCTTGCTTTTACCAAAGCACAGACTCTTTGTATAGTTAAGCACTCTGTGTGCTATATCTACATTAGCTTTTCCACCGTCAGTTTCTTTGCTTTGACTTTCTCTACGTGCATACCAGCAACTATTATAATGTTTTAGAGATGTTTCTCTTTTGTTTTGCATCTTTTTGTTAAGCCTCCATCTTGTGCCAGCTTTTGGTGATTTTTGTTTCCAGTTTCCTCATTCTCGCTCGCTTCAATCAGGTGGTGCCTGTTTTCCTTTACTGTATTTCTCCATTTTTGCACCTAATATAGCTGTTTATTACGTTGTTCCTTCGGTGAACTTTTTGCTTTTTCACTGTGTCTGTTTATTTTTGTTTCATATACTTCAGATTATGCTTTTATCATTTTCTCTTCCCCATCATTTCCATTTCTTTGTTGCAAGTTTTTAGTTTGCATGGACTCTGACTTTTCTTATGTTAGCTGCTTCCATATTATATTTATCTTTTCTGTGATCTTATCGGTTTATTCCATGCAGCTTAGCTCAGTCATCCTATTCGAAGCTTATTGTTCAGGTAAAACAATCTCTCATTTACTTATTTGTTCCTCATCTGCTTAGTGTTTAGCCTGTTCTACTTCGTTGTGTTTTATTTTCTGTGTTTGTTATCATTTTGCTTATTAAATGGTAATCATCTCTTTCATTCACGCTTGTTTTGTCTCCTCCAAGAAACTTTAGATGATTTATGATTGTGATTGTTGGATGTCATGGATAACAGAATTTTCTTAATTTTAGCTACAATTGCATATGCCTCGGAAACGTAAATTTTCCTCAGAAGATGAATATCGTTTAGAAAAAAGCCGTCGTGATCGCGAAAGATATATTAGAAAATTAGTTCGACATAAAAAAGCAGCTCTTTTGCCTATTGAACCCCAGAGTGCAGAAACGCAGGTTTTACCTATGACCACTGCTCCTCAGACAACTGAGCAGAATCTTTTTGATGTTCCTGTTCATCATGATTTGCCAGCTAAACATGCAGTCGGCTATTTCTGTTTGGATTTGCCTGTGTTTTCACTTCCAGATAACACAGATATTCCATCAACTTCAACTGTGTCCAGCATTGATCCATGTAATATTCTTCCCTTATTGTTATCTGCTCTTTTTTTTGTGTCCTTTTTTCCCCTGACCTATAGCAGGCTTGATCATCTTGTTAATTTTTTATTCATATAGTTTGTCCAGCTATAAACGGTGATTCGGTTTCACAGAGTTTCTTTAATTCAGTTTCGCCACATGTTCATGTACACCAATTTCCTCTTCCTCCTCATTCAGGTAGTAGTGATATCGTTCTTTAAATCATCCACTTACTATCAATATGAAATCAGAGAGACATGCTAGCTCACTCAATCACTTAATTTCTCCATAAAATATTCAGCTTGCATTTCAAACTTTGAATTTTCAGCCTCAAACTCATCCATAAACGAAGGATCTAATATAGCAACATCTTCAAACCTTCGACCGGGTATCTTATCAATTTTCAATCTTACTCCTATATCCTATATCCTATTTATACTGGTCAATATGCTTTTATTTCTTGCATAACCAGATACTGGCTATGCTGTATACTTTTAGATAATGATCGCCGCCGAACAAATATACCGCTCATAGAGCAGATACAATCAGAGCCAAGTATATTGCCATTTGTTCCAGATTGTATTCACTGCCATGCTAAACGGTATTACATGGAGCCGCCTCGATTCTGCTGTGCTTCTGGAGAGATTAAATTAGCACCAACCAAAATGCCTGATAGATTAGTACAGCTTTATAAAGCAAACACTCCTGAATCAAAAGAATTCAGACAATGTGTTAGGAGTTATAATAACATGTTTGCTTTCACATCTCTGGGGGTTCATTATGATAAAGATCTCAGCAAGAGGAATGATGGTATCTATACTTTTAGGGTGCAAGGACAGATATACCATTTTATGAACTCATTATTTCCTTCTGAAGATGACAAGGCATCAAACTTGCAACTGTATTTTTATGATACAGAACATGAGTTAGCAAATAGAATGGCTATCTCAGGCAAATTCAAAGAGTCTATTGTACAACAGCTGAGGTCTATACTTGATGAAAATCCATATTCTGCTTTTATTCGAAGCTTGACAGAAGTTCAGGACCTAGACAGATATCGGATATTTCTAAAGTCTGACTCAGGATTGGATCAACGTGTGTACAATACACCTACAGTATCTCAAGTTGCAGCCATTTGGTCTGAAAGTGATCTGAATAGCACTCAAAGTTCCAGAAATATTGAAATCTCTACAAAAACAGGCAACAAGAAAATAGTTAAGCAATACTATGGGTGTTATGATGCACTGCAATATCCTCTTATATATGCTCGAGGGGAAACAGGTTGGCATCCAGGAATTCTTCGAAAAACCAAAGCTGATATATTAGAGCGGCCTGATCAGACTTGCAGTCAAGAAAATTTACTGCCTCTTCATCAATGTACCAACATGGATCACATTATCGATGCAGAAGAGCAAGGTACAATCATATGTCTTTGTTCAACCATTAGAGATTTTAAATTCCTTCTTGCTAAATCATAGCTTTAATCTTTAATTTTTTATTACTATTGCAGCTGTCAAAAAAAAAAAAAAAAGGCGGCCAACTGTTTCATGTCGAGAGTACTATGCATACAAGTTTCAAATTAGAAATGCAGATCAATCAAATCTTTTACATATCAGTCGCCTTCTACAGCAATACTCTGTTGATACTTATGTAAAGTTGGAGACTTCAAGATTGGAATTTTACAGAGGCAGACAAAACAAATTAAGAACGGAAGCATATCAAGGATTAGTAGATGTTGTTGCAAATGGTGAAAGAAATGCTGCAAATGTTGGCAAGCGCATCATTTTGCCAGCAAGCTTTATAGGTGGCCCAAGAGACATGCGTCGCAGGTACATGGATGCAATGGCATTAGTGCAACGGTATGGAAAACCTGATATTTTCCTTACTATGACTTGTAATCCGTCGTGGCCAGAAATCAAACAGCATTTGGAACAAAAAGATGAAAGTCAGAATCGTCCTGACTTAATTGCTCGTGTCTTCCGTGCAAAAATGGAACAATTGAAAGAAGACCTATTGAAAAAAAATCTTTTTGGACAAGTAGCAGCATATACATATGTGGTTGAGTTCCAAAAACGCGGTCTACCACATGCTCACTTTTTGATCATCCTTAAAGACAAGTGGAAAATGTACTCTCCAGAAGAGTACGACAGAATTGTCTCTGCAGAGCTGCCAGATAGATTCAAATCACCATATCTCTTCTCTCTTGTTATAAAACACATGCTTCATGGTCCGTGCGGATCTCTGAATGTAAAGAGCCCTTGTATGCGACAGAATCAGAAATGTAAAAACAACTATCCGAAAGATTTTTCTGAATTCACAAAGCATGGAAAGAATTCATATCCACTGTATAGGAGGCGTGATAATGGAAACAGTGTCATGATCAGAGATCACAAGTTGGACAATCGTTGGGTTATTCCTTATAATGCATATCTTCTAGCAAAATATGATTGTCACATCAACGTTGAAATTTGTTCTGCCATCGAAGCTGTGAAATACATATATAAGTATATATACAAGGGCCATGACCGAGTTCTATACCAGCTAAATGCAGAAGCAGCAGACAAAATTGTTGATGAAATTAAAAATTTCCAGTATGGTCGATGGATCTGTGCCCCAGAAGCTATGTGGAGAATATTTGCTTTTGATCTCAGTGTCATTAATCCAGCTGTCATTGTTCTACATTTACACCTGCAAGATTATCAATCAATGCCCTTCCATGAAGATAGACCACTGCAGGATATCATTCAAGATGAAAGACTTCAACGAACAATGCTTACAGAATTCTTTGCTCTTAATCGAACAAATAAGCAAGCTCAGGATCTCAATTTATTATATAAAGAATTTCCCCAATACTTTGTTTGGGATGAAGATGATAGAATCTGGTATCCTCGAAAACGTGGACAAGTCATTGGTCGTATCACTACAGCGCATCCAATAGAAGGCGAAAGATACTATCTTAGAATGCTGCTGATGCATGTTCGAAAACCAAAATCTTTTACTGATTTAAAGACAGTAAATGGATTCATTGCTTGTTCATTTAAAAAGGCTGCAGAAATTCGAGGATTGTTACAGATTGATAACGGAGCAGAACAATGTCTATCAGAGGCTGCACTGTACAAAATGCCATCATCTCTAAGACAACTATTTGCTGTCATTTTGATATATTCTCCGCCAAGTAGTCCAAAAGACCTTTGGGACAAATTCTATTACTCACTATCAGAAGACATAGCAAATCAGTCTTTTCTATCAGAAGAACAAACAAGAGCAAAAGTCCTTCATCTTATTGATGAACATTTACAAAAAAATGGGAAAGAGTATAACAGATTTTGGCTTCTCACAATCAATTTCAACAATGTCTTCCGCTGCTATCACAAAAGAAATTGAAGCAGAATATGCAATTCCCATTTCTGAACAAGATCTAGCAGCTGTATCTGTGCTCAATCATGGTCAAAGACATGCATTTGATAGAATAATGGAAAAAGTCAATACCAATGTTCCAGCTGCATTCTTCATTGATGGACCTGGTGGTACTGGAAAATCCTTTCTATACAAGGCTTTGCTTGCAACTGTTAGATCAAGAGGAGACATTGCCCTGGCAACAGCAACATCAGGAGCTGCAGCATCATTACTTGCTGGAGGTCGCACTGCCCACTCTCGCTTTAAGATACCTCTTCATCAGGAAATTAATAGTACCTGCAATATTTCCAAACAAAGTGCCATTGGTCAGTTAGTTCAAGCTGCAAGATTAATCATCTGGGATGAAGCAACAATGGCCAAGAAATACGCCATTGAATCCCTTGACAGATTATTGAGAGACTTGCTAAACTCTGATTGTATCTTTGGTGGAAAAGTTCTTGTTTTTGGTGGAGACTTCCGGCAAACTTTGCCAGTGGTGAGAAAAGGTCAACGAGAAGATTATGTCTCAGCATCCCTTGTCAATTCTTACCTATGGCCTCACCTGCAAAAGATCCGACTCACTGAAAACATGAGAGCACGGTCAGATCCTTCATTTTCTGACTTTTTACTGAAAATAGGAAATGGAACAGAGCCAACAATTTTAGATAACAAAATCAAGCTTCAACCTTCAATGCTCATACCTTTTATCGATGATAAAACCTCATTGAACCTTCTGATAAATACTGTATATCCATCCTTGCCTGACTTTTTAAACAACAGTTCTGCAGTTACTAACAAAGCTATTTTGAGTACAACAAATGATACAGTTCAAGAAGTCAATCAAATTTTGATTGAAAGATTTCCAGGGCAAGAAACAAGATACATCAGCTTCGATCAAACAATTGATCCAGCAAAACAGGCTGATCATGGAGATTTCTTAAATTCCATTCAACCTCCTGGATTACCCCCACATGAACTAATTTTGAAACCAATGTGCCCAGTTATACTTCTTAGAAATCTTAACCCTGCACAAGGTTTATGCAACGGAACACGTCTCATTTGTTTAAATTTTGATAAGAATGTCATACATGCTGAGATTTCAGTTGGTATTCATGCTGGTAAACATGTGTTTATTCCTCGCATTCCATTGCATAGTTCGAATGATGAATCTTACCCAATACCCTTCAAACGCACTCAATTTCCAATTTCATTATGCTTTGCTATGACAATCAATAAATCACAGGGACAAACACTTGATTTTGTTGGAATATACTTAAAGGAACCTGTCTTTTCGCATGGACAATTATATGTTGCATTGTCTAGAGCAAAAACCTCAGCAAATGTGAAGATCTTGCTAAGACCTGTTACTGTCCAGTCTACAGAAAGCAATTATACTCGAAATATTGTTTATCATGAAATCCTAGCTGCTGCTGCTGATACTTGAGTAATAATTATCTGCATAGTTATATTATACAATTACGTGTATGCCTCCTGTCTGCTTCTATAAACTAATCTATTGAATATCTATAAAACTTCTTATCCTATATTGCAGATATGGATGACAGATGCACAGCCATTAGTGATCTAACAGAAAAATCTCAGGATTGGATGATCAAGATCATTGTCATTGAAAAATCAAATATATTTCCTGCAAAAGACCAAGGCTCTTTGTTCCAGCGTTTCATGTTTACAAATGAAAAGGTAAAACACTTATACTATTTCCTCTCTCTTATAAACTGCTTGTATCTTTTATCATAGACTTGCTTATGTCTTTTGCCATCTGATTGGTATACACAATTTCTCATACCTATTATTTTTGATTCTTCTAATTAACTACTTCGTGAATCTAACTCACTGCTCTTTTTTCCAGAATGAAACAATTCAAGCAATTGCATTCAATAGAGATGTGAGCCATGCAGACAACAAGCTTCAATTATATCATGCATATTATATTGGCAATGCTGGTATATCCCCCATAACAGATGCAAGAAATCAAGCTGGATCCCTGCCATATCAACTCACAGTAACAAAGGCCACCTTCATTAAAGCAGCAACCAACGCAAAAAAAATACAATTTGAAGATCATTTCCCCATTACTACATTCTGGCAGCTTGACAAATACAAAAATAGTGATGTTGATAGATTTAGTAGTGCTTCCCTTCCTCAACTTACAATTACATATAAATAAACTATATATTTTCACATTAACTATGTTACACAAATTATATTTCACTTACTCAATATTTCACTGCAGATATCCTCTGCGCTATTATACAAGGATTCCCAGAAACAATCATACCAACTGCTAGAGGACCTCGAACAATTCGGAGATTTGTTGCTGTCAACCCAGAGTATGATTTCCATTTAATTTTTTTTTCGAATTTTATACTCATCTAAACAGATATCATATATTAAAAATGCATATATTCCTGTATATATATTTATCTTCATTAAGATTATCATATATATTATTGGTGCAGATGCAGACCAATGATTTTCACCATGTGGGAGCCATTCGTCTATATTGAAGGAATTCAACTGATGAACATGATTCACACACATCCAGTGATACTGATTATCAGACCAAAGATCACAGCATTTCATGGTAAATCCTCTATGGCCCAAACAAACATATATTTTTCTTATCAGATGCTCATCTATATACATTGACTCAATACATTATTATTTTTTACTTTTCACATACTCATTTACCTGGATTATTGAAGCAATTGATATCACTACAAGACCGAATACTACCATAGTTCTTGATCCCCCACTTCAGCAGGCAGCCACAATGAAAATCTGGTATGAATAATTACAGCACCCTCTAGCACTAAGATTGATCTACCCATAAAAAAATATCCATATAAGTCAATATTCTAACTCTTAGCCTATATTACAGGATCGATGAGAACAGATCATACATTCACAAAGTCATCAACGAGAAATTATATGAAAAGGACAAGCAGCAGCCAGTTGCACCACTTCAAACCCAAATACGGCCAATCTCACAGATCATTTCTTCCACACCACAGGTACACCTCATTTCTCAGTCAAGTTGCATTTTAATGCCTGATCCACATTGTTCCTATAACTTCACAATATCCCTCATCTATCATTATATTTATTTCTCTCATACTCATTACACCTCCAGTATATCAACATTTCATATAACACATATTTGTATTCCCTTTTTACATTCTCAAATATTTCCCTTATCCTTTAGAAACTTATGCATTATCATTTCAAACTCCTACGACAACAGATGAAACATTTCTGGATCAAGGGAATGCCATTAATAGTGAATCTCAACCAACGCTTTTTCTCTCCTACTTGTCCTACTTGCAACAAGTCTACTGGCGCTTTGATGGATATGGAATTTGATTGTAACTTTTGTGATTCCAAAAACAAAATTCCAAGACCAAAGTAAGTGTTCGATTTCATATATCTGTACAGTAATTACAATTTTTTTGCCAAGTAAAAATTTTAAACTCTCTGTTCCTAATACTTCAACAGAGCCAAAGTCCAGCTCAATATCACGGATGATACTGGTTTCCTATCAATCACAGCAGAGGACAAGCATGCTGAAACATTACTTGGATTCACTGGTTTAGAAATCTACGAAAGATACCTCAAGGTACTGAATTGAACTTACCTTCATAAAAAGGTAATATATAATACATGCATATTCATAGCTTTTTAACATTTACTATGAATATATATTACAGCAAGATCCAATTCCCATTCAGCACATCAATCAAGAATTACAGAGGCAAACACTACTTTGCGAAGTCAGATCATACTGCCCATCTCAAAGACATTACATGCCACTCTACTTTTTAACAGCATTCATCCCAGAAGAATTAGCAGGTGAAACTCTCTCTGATCAACTCGCTCAGGCCACGCCACCAACACTGCTAACAGGACCAACATCTGCACTTAGCAATACAGCCGAGGAAACTGTTTCAGACACAAATGTCACTGAAATACCTGCCTCTTCAACCTCACTCTTAGCAGAAATGTCATCATCCGTCAAGCGCAATCTTGAGCCAGATTTCTCTCAAGTCACAAAACATAAAAAACTAGACTAAACACTTTACATTACAGTCAAATGTAAAAGTAAGAACTACACTTTTTGTTCAACAACCAAGGCAGCTCGTTAGAATTTTGTTCTGTAAAAATTGCAACTAACTTTTGTACCAAGCTGCACTCTCCATTTAGAATGTATATAAAAAAAACGCATGCTTTTTGCTTTTATACTCTGAACCTATTTCATACCCAAACATCTTCTTCACAAATAAATCATCAATTGACACTGTTACACTACATTATATGGGCAAGTCAAACACTATCTCAGCAAGTGATACAGAGCACGCCACACACATTGCTAACAAGACCAACATCTTCCCTAAATAGTACGCCAGAGGAGACTGTTTCAGACACAAACATCACCGAAGCATCAGCATCTTCAACCCCAACCACTGACAAAACAATCCCACCAGATCCAAAACTACTAGAGACCTCATCCTCCATCAAGCGCAATCTTGAGGCAGATTTCTCTGAAAGCACAAAGCATCAAAAACTAAACTAAACAATTTACATTCCAGTTGGATGTAAAACAAAAAATTGTATTTTTGTTTACGAATCATAGCAGCTTTCTAGAATTTTGTTCTGTACAAATAACAACTAACTTTTGTATTAAGCTGCAATTCCCAATGATCATGTATATATAAAAAATGCATGGTTTCTACTTTCCTGTTTAGAATCCATCTCTTATACAAACATCTTCTTCACAAAAAAACCATCAGTTAACACTCACCAACAAGATAATATGGGCACCCCGCGACACCCGCGGGGCACAACACCTAGTAATTACTATTAAGGCATGAGATTTTCACGGCAATGTAAATCATACATCTTTAATAAACCGAGAAAGGTGTTCGTGGACACGCACGCTCAACACAAGGTGCCTATGCTAATTGAGAAAACTATGAAAAATGTAAAATTTGATAAAAATGTTAGGACTTATAATTGTCTATATATCTAAAAATGAAATTACATGCTTACATAAAATATAAATTTTGTTGATTTTCCAATAATATCTCGTGTAGATAAAACTTATCAAATAAGTAAGATATCCAAAAGTTGTATCTTAATATTTATATGGCTTTTGCAACCTCTAATGAAAGTTCTATACTTATAATTTCTTAACATTTTTTGTCCTTCATTTTTTGTCTTTTGGTCATTGTTGTTACCGAAACTTATCCTTTATGCATGAAGAAGAAAGATAAAAATTGGAAAAAATGAAAAATAATATAAAGGATAGCAACATTTGTGTATCACAAGGAGTTAAATGAAAAAGAATAAAATTTTTAGTGAAATAGTTGTATAAATATGAGGAAGGTTTATTGTGATTAACCTTTTTGTTTTTAAGTGTAAATGAGAGGTCTCGAACTCGGATCTCTCACTTACACTCCCTCCCCTGATATCATTCAACCCATCTCTCCTCCTATTGTGATTAACCTTGATTTTTCATATGTAAAATCTAAGCAACTTATATTTTTGTCATTCTAATCATGTAAACCAAAAAAATTGTTGATGTACACTTTAAAACAATGCTTACATTGCACCTATTCAAAATGGCAATTGCTTTTGTTAAGATTTTAATGTCATATTAATTATACATGCATGCACCTAATTCAAAATGACAGTGGTTTTTGTTAAAGGTTTTAAGTCCATATAAATTATTTCAATACACGTGTAAGCAATTTCATTTTGTACTATTACAAAAAAAAAGAAACATGACAAAATTTTTTAAACACACCCTAATTAAAATTGAGACACGTGACAGATTTTCAAATGCCACCTCTTTACTTTTGCATGATATCATGATATTGCAATATATGAGACACGTGAGAGAATATTTAAATGCCACCTAATTAAAAATTGAGACGCGTGGCAAATTTTTTAAAGGCCACCTCTTTAATTTTACATGCAATATATGATGTTACAATATGTTTAAGAGTTTTCATTTTACGCTATTAGAAACTATATGTGACAAAAATTTTAAATGTCACCCAATTAAAAATTGTAACATGTGATACATTTTTTTAAAGGCCATCTCTTTATTTTTGTATGCAATCTATGGATAAGTATTAATGATTCAAAAGATGTATCTTACTTGGATTTTTGTTTTATTTGTCAACCTCAAACAAAACTTTTTCATTTCTGTACTCCTTCCTTATTGTTTTTAACTTTTACCCTTTTCCCATTTCCATTCTTCCCTTTTGTTTGAGGTAAAAAATACACACGTACCACTGTACTAGTGCATCCCTTGACTTGATTGGATACTCTGCTAATATAAATTAGAATAGAAGTAGGAATAGGGGTTGATCATTGACAAAAAAAAAATACTAGTTAATTTTATAAATTAATTTTTTATAC